GCCTTCGGCGGGCTCACAACCAGTTACGTTGGTGCTGGCTAAGCGCGTTGATAAGTTCGATTTCAGGTGTTTGGAATAACACTAGGCGTATCTTCATCTTCAAGGCGAGTCGCTTGCACGAAGAAACACCCAAGTGCTTAAGAATTGAAGAAATAACAGGTGTTTAATGTATTAATCCCCATGATCACGACGTTCTCGAGAGCAATTTTTAATAAAAAAGTTTCGAAATATGTCCATGTAGAACCTAAGCCTAATTAAGCCAAATTATAGGTCTTTGCTATGTGGATCAAAAAGAAGAAACCAACAATTGTAATTGAAACGGAAGAGCAATTACGAAAAAGTTACTACTATATCGTTAATATTTTCTGAAGGATTTTCATAGTACTCAATTATTGAATGAATTTGTGACAATAAACGGAAATAATCGTAAGACCGTTCTGGAGAATCATGACTTGTGTTAAGCAACTCCAGCTTAACTCACAGTCAACTTGAAAAAATCTAGTAAGCAATGTACTGGCGAGTATTGAAATTTGTATTCACAAGCGCACAGCCATGCCGGTATGTGCAAATATTACATGGATAAACATACCGAGCTAAAGCTGTCATTACTCCAATTATTCGCCAACTAAAGGTAGAAAACTTGCAATTTTTAACCTTGATCTGGATAGGGATCAATACCAGTGCCAATGAAATGTGTGTCGCTCTTAAATTGCATGTACTGATAATCCCAGCAGTCCGATGTCCTTACAGTGAACTCGGAAAACATCTCACAAGCGTTGTACTCGCGAGTATTTTGAAGTTTGACATGATCAGTTAGTGAAAAAAATCAAGGATGATGGTATCTGTCTAATGCTGACTTGAGGTCACTCATTGGCCAACAGAACACAGATAATATGCAACTTTTAATCTTGATCAGGACGGTGATAGAACCCTCTACCAATCAAAATTTCCAGTCGCCTTATTTGCAAGCAACGACAGTCCGAGTATACCTTCACGATATTTGGCGTGGTGAATACGGTAAGCTAGCGAAAGGTTAGCTGACCATGACAAAGTTGCACATTTCGTGTGAGGGGTGAAGGATAGCATGGAAACTGCATCAGATATGTGCGACACTATTTTTTATTGAAACCGTGTGGTGCCTGTATACATTCATACATACAGTACTTCATTATTCAAGAATACAATGGCAAATTCCAGTTCCACGTCACAACCGGATAATACGAGGAATTGCCTTCTCGAACGACTTCTTCACGGCACCCGCACTGATGGATTCCCAAGCCTTGATGGTTCGTTCGATCATGTTCCTTCTCTTTTTAACTGCAGACACGAAAGACTCCTCCAAAAGCCGCCAGGCAAGTAACCTCGCCTTCAATGGCCCCATGACTCCAAAAGTCAAGAGGTTGGCAATCGATATTTGAGTTTGAGCGTCCAAACAACTCTTCTGTCACGAGCTCGTACGATATCGACGACATGTGAGCGGCGGGACTTCCCACGAGTAATACAGAGCGTCCAATTACCTCAAACTTCAATAGCTCATTGAGACAAAACTCTCACATTGAGTCGTCCATCCAGGCATTTTCTTGAACCATTTAAAGATGACCACATGGGAGTGCCGGAAATTTATCAGACTGGATAATACCACCTGGAGTGCCCCGTAACACAAACAGCATCGGTGATTCGATACTAAGTACTTGTTGATCAGAATAGGCCAAGCAACACAACATACCATCCGCGCATGCTTTCATGACAGCAATGAGGCGGTCGGAGTGCTATTCTGTCGAGTCAACTCTCGAGTCTTCGACGACCTCAGCCCACGTGCGACGGGGTGGCGTGCCACACTAGACAAATGTTTCATCGATGTTGACGATGTCATGCTGGGGATGCGCATTATCCTTGGATCAGAAAGAGGTTGCAAAAGCCATCTGATCGAGCTCCAGCTCCGCGTTCTTCAGCTTCGAGTAACAAGCCAAACGCTGGAAAAACCATGACGATGGGCAACTGTTCGACGAGAGGGGGGTAATTAGTACATGTTTGTCTCCTATTGGTCAATCACACGTAACAGGGTCCCTGGCATCGAGAAGACTTGAAGCGCATCACGATTTGCAATCACCACGTTTGCCGCCGGAACTGTTATGTTTGTCTGTGCATTGGCACGGTAGCCAAACTGCGCTGCTTTCAAGATCCCATTCCACCGCACGCTAGTTTCTACTACATCTTTTCCCGGCCAAAATGGTCACACTGGCAATCAACGTGGTTCATTGAGCCGAACTTGCTTGGACTGTTGTGGCAATTTGGAAACTTACAGTCCACGAGACCATCGAGGGTCCTTTTGAAAATTGCATAATTTTATACAAGTCTCTCGA